GCTTTAATTAATAAATTTTCATATAAAATTGATGTAATAAATCTTCGCGAAAAAATTATTCAATATTTATTTCACCCTCCTGTATATATATATATACAATATATATGAACCAGAAGTTTCCTTGGTAACAGCTGCAAAATTTCTACACTTTCTGGATAAGGTACCAGTTCAGTCAATGAGCTTCGACTAAAACTGGTTACCTAACTCCAGAAGGGATACAGTTACGTCATGTGGAAAATAAGTTCACACGTCAATATGGTGAATTCCGAAAAGTGAAGGGTTAGGATATCTCTTTTGCAAAATTTACATGGATTAAGAGAATGTAAAGATGTTTAGTTTCGTAGATAATTTTATTCAAGTTGGAAAACCAGTATATTAGTCCACTACCATTAACACAGAAATTTCGTCATTTATCCAGTTATGTTCCTGAACTTTACATTCATACAATGTATTGCTAATAAGAAAGAACGTTTTCTGATTTCCTTTCGCAATTGGTAAATGAGCAATTCTTTTGATTATGCAGGGTAATTTGATAGCGAACATTAATTAGAAATTTATAAATTATTTGATTATTGGATTGACAATAAAAATCCAGATACATTCACGATCACAGCTGATTCAAAGTGTATTTAGTACAATATGGGTGCATCAAACTCAGGATTTTTTAGCTTTAATAAACAAAAAATATATAGGTGTAGAGGATGCAGGCATTTTGCGTTATAATTTATCATCCATAGATACCGGGCCTTTGACACGAGCTTTAGAATCTCAACTAGTTACTACACAACTTTTTTCATTTTCTTCTATACGACACTTCTTAGGTTCAAGTTCATCACTAGTTTACCCTATCTTTAATGAACCCACTATTATTTCTAAATCTTCTTCACATTCTTGCGCATTATCGAGGGCGTCTTTAATTAGTAAGATTCTTACTATTGCACAAATTTCTTCAGTGCCGTTATGAAATAACTAATATAAAAATTTTATGAAATAACATTTTAATGAATCAAGCCGAAAAGAAAAGAAAAAGGTACAAAATATTTTTGGAAAAGGACGCCAACCAAACTAAAATAATCAAAAAGACCATTGGCAAATAATTTATTTTTGGTTAAACGAAATATTTTTTTTCTATTATCCGCATTCAATAATGATCAAAGGTCGCTGTGTCATCTTAGAATCGAAACTAGGGAAAAGATTAAACTTTTCTAAATTAATTCTACTTTATTTGAATCAATTTCAATCCCTAGTCATGAGTGCCAGTTCAAGTGCATTCTTTCTCGAAGGAAAAAAATTAAAAATAAAGACACATTATACAAACAAAAAATTTGCATGTTAGCCTGATATTGTACAGTAATAAAGAAAAATTTATAAAATGATTTAAAAATTAATTCGATTCATTTGTTTAGGTAGTTATATTAAAACAAATAATGAAATAATACATGCTCTTATTATTTGAATCCTTTTACAGATCTTATATCCTTTACCACTAAATACCGCATTATCTATCCTTTTGATAATTTGAAAATCAATACTTTGTTTAACGCTGATAGGATACAATTGTATTGTCTGAATTTCAACTTAAGACAAAATTCAATTTCAGTCACAACAATAATATCTCAAAGTTCATTCTTAACTAATAAACTCATCAACTTGGCAATTCAGGTAAGTGATGAGGATAGTTCTCTCAGTTCCATTTCAGTTCCTCTTCAGATCTGCTTCGACTTGCCTAAAGTAACAGAATATATGATGTTGATCAATTAAATCTTAATTTGAAGTATATACGATTTAAAGCTAACTCTTTTGAGCCAGTCTGAAGTAAAGATTGGAATCGATTCAATCAAAAATTGAATCTTGAAATCAATTAAAGGTTCGATTAATCATTTATAAAATTCGATTTGGTGATTCGATTTTCAATTTTGATTAATCGAATCGAAACTGAATTTATGTTTCACAGAGCCAATCTTTTTTTTAAATGCATTTGTGATGCAGCAATTTCGATGATCTTGCAAGACAAAATTTTAAGCGAATTTAACTAATTTTTAATCAATGATTTATTTTATAATAACTAGATTTTTAATCATGGCCGGCCTTAATTGGAAGTAATATATATATTTTATTTAATATTTATAAGTATCTTTATTAAATTTGCTGGAATATG